CCACTCACTTTTGAGCAGTGAGGCCCAGCTGAAGTGTTTCAATTGATTAAGTGGAGCTGGGTCTAAAAAGCTGGAGAATGGGATGAAGTAATCTGATTTAGACAGATATAAAACACTCCCATTCATTTCACTTAATGAACTTAAAGATACCTTCAAAATACTTATCATGATCTACCTTTGGATTCATTCCATTCTCTGAGTGCTGCCTCTTAAAGGACGTGGAGCTACATGTGCCCCAGACGTGGACTACGGGTGGGTTTTATGGGCAGTGGTTCTGATAACTCATGAACAAGCCCCTAGTCCTGACTTGGCACATCAGTATATCAACACCCTTGTGTCTGTGTGAACTTTGTTTAGAGAAAGTACACACTGGATTTGTCATGGGAGCCAGGAAATTTCAGGGGATTTCAGGATAAAGTTTCAGGTGGTGCAAGGCCATGTGGAGAACTAACTGGATTTGTGTCTTGCAGTGCCTCTGTACTGCTGTCCCTGCTGAGAAGCAGGGGAATTTGAGTCTGGGCTGCTCCAATTAAGCTGCTGTCATTGGTGTCAGAGCTTGGATAGCACAGAGATATATGGCCTAGCTCTATATTGCATTCCATTTACCTGACAATGAAGTCCTTTTTTTTTTTTTTAATTGTGATTTAGGTAAATCCTCAATTCAGCCAGTAGGCAATGCTATAAACTGATTAATTCCTCATCTTTCTGAAGTAGCTAGGCAACTAACTGCACTTTGAGCAGGATGGTGATGCCTTCCTGCCTGATGGATAGGTCTAAGTGGTTTACCAAGGTCAGAAACAGAGAACAACAAACCACAGTTATCCTTTGTTTTAGTGAAAGGCTTTGCAGGCAGAAAAGGAAGTTCTGTTTTTATTACTCCTGTCAATATTTGCTTACCTATGAATGCCATCATCTCTACCATCATCCTGTCTCGACTGTGGCTGCTGGTAGATTCTCAGGTCAGTCATTCCTGGGTACATCCTGGGTACATTTGGCGAGACCCCACCTGCGGTGCTGCATCCAGCTCTGGGGTCCCAGCCCAGGAAGCACAGTGACCTCTTGGAGTGAGTCCAGAGGAGACCATCGAGTTGATTAGAGGGACAGAGCACCTCTCCTGTGAGGAAAGGCTGAGAGAATTGGGATTGTTCAGCCTGGAGAAGGGAAGGCTTTGGGATAACCCAATTATGGCCTTCCAGTACCTGAAGGGAGCCTACAAGAGAGATGGAGAGGGACTTTTTACAAGGGCCTGGAGTGACAGGGCAAGGGGGAATGGCTTCAAACTGACAGAGAGTAGGTTTAGATTTAGATTAGATATTAGGAAGAAATTCTTTACTGTGTGTGTTGTGAGGCACTGGAACAGGTTGCCCAGAGAAGCTGTGGATGCCCCATGCCTGGATGTGTTTAAGTTCAGGTTAGATGGGGCTCTGAGCAACCTGGTCCAGTGAAAGGTGTCCCTGCCCATGGCAGGGGGGTTGGAACTACATAATCTGTAAGGTCCCCTCCAACCCAGGCCAATCTATGATTTAATGATCCTATGATCTTTGCAGACACTGGTGTTCAGAACTGAAGGACTTCATAAGCAGGCTGTGCATCAGGTACTCAGGGACAGACCTGCTCCCCCTAAACCTGTGGCTGATTCCCTTCAGAGTCTGCTTCTGCTTTTGAGCCCTGAGAAATTGTGCAGGGCTTTGCAGTTAAAGCACTGCAGTCAATAGGTGTCAGTGAAGAACAAACATTCCTGTTCCTTTCCGAGGCAGTGCTGCTTCCCTTTCTACTGGCACAGAGCCTGGATGGCTGCAGACTCACCCAAGAGTGGACATGCCCCTGGTCCCTCAGGGTTGCAGGCGTTTCCAAGGCAGCTGTTTCTTCCACCTATCATTGGCCTGCAGGACCAGATTGGAAAGAGGCCAAAGGGAGGCACAGCAGTGTAATTGGTGACTTCATGCTTTTTGGTTTCTGTTTTATCGCTCAAGCAGCTGTTGGGTGGGTGCTCCCACTCGCTTCCTTTTGGGGCCATGAGGTGCTGTTGCTCCTCCCCACTTGGCCCAGGAGAAGCTTCTGTGGGATCCCAGGAAGAGCAATGTCTCACCACACAGCCCCTCAGTCTGTCCTAAGAGTTTATCTTCTCTGGTAGACAGGACAGGTAAATGAATTCAGTGATAGGGGAGGACTGTCTCCTGTCAAAGTTAATAGAGAAGTTGCTGCACAATTATCTGGTTTCTGGTCCCTTGGAAAAAGGAGGATTGTTGTCATCTGTGAGGCTGGAACTGGTGAAAGAGTGATACAACCACTTAGTCCTCTTCCCCCCTTTCTGAACGTGGTCTTTCAGTGATTGCCTTCACTGACACAGCCCTTTCTGTTAGGTGTGATTCCTCCTGTCCCATCCCTCCTCAGTCTCTGCAGCAGGAGTGCCCTTGGCATTTTGTCTGTGGTCTGTGACTGTCCTTTCTCTCTCATCAACTGGTCATGAACCAAACTCCACAGAAATTCCTTTTTATCCTCCACCTTTACCTTTCCATCTGACAGCTGGTTACAAGCAAACCCTTGTTTTGGTCCCTCGAGCGTCTCTACTCAGACCCAATGCAGAAACCCACCAACTGATGTCCTGACCTAAATCTTCTGTTTTCCCATGACTTCTGGCTTCAAAGATTACCAGAACTAGCTCAGATTCCTTCCCCTGCCTGCTCTCCCCACTTCCCCAGCCTACTTTTCATCTTCTACAAGATGTTCCTGAACCTATTTGGTGAGACTTTTCCCCCAGTCATTTTTTTCCTCCAAGAAACTGCTTTGGGCATCACTCATTGTATCAGAACTAGTATGACTTAAATTCAGGTTGCTGGGATGTTTACCTGAGCACCTTTTCTTCTCTGAGGGCTACTTTAGAAGATAACTGTGTGATGTTTTCAGGGAAGAGGTTCATAAAGCAGGACCTGGAATTCATGTGTTCCTCTCACAAGAGTTCTGGCCCTCCAAATGCTCTGCTTTCTTTTTATCTGCCCCAAAGGTCAGATAAGCCTGGGTAGCAAGCAGAGCAGGTTAACTTCAACAAGAGCAGGTAGAAGCCCTGTGTCTCAGCTCTGATGGAGTAAATGTTTAATCCTGTCCTTTCTACTTAAATCAGTCTTGAGAAGAGCCCTGACTCAGGAAGGGAAAATATGTTACCAGAGTAAGAAAGCAGTATTGTAAGCATTTCCACATAATAGAGATTGCACAGGGCTTTATTTCTTCCAAACCTAGTATTGCTGTGGTCTAGGTACATTTTGGATCAGTGCTTTTATATTTTGTAGGGCTGAAATGTCACCCTCTGCCAACATTTTAACTGCCATAGGAAAAAAAGAAAGAAAAACAGAGAGGGGAGGAGACATTTTTACGACATCTTACTATGGAAGTTTTGAAAGTTCTTTAACATCTCCACAGCCTGCCGGAATGATTTGTGGAACCAGACTGACTATTCTTTGAAACATTCCATTTGAATCCCTCTATTACGGTCATGGGAAGGAGAGGGGGAGTAGCAGACAGTGGGGAGAGCCAGAGAAAAGAGGATGGAAGAAGTGGCAGGTGTAGCAATTGCTGGAAAACCCTGGTTGCCAGTAGCATCACGTACCCCCACCCTTTAGGAACAGTGCCCAGCCTGGGTTTCTGGACCTCTGACACAGCTCTCTGCAGCTGCACCAGGCTGTGCCTGTGCAGGATGGACCTGCTACCCTGTAGTTTTGCTGGCAGAAGCTTCTAATCACTACTAATCAGTTGCTGCACTCTGCCTCAGGTAGAGTATTGAGGTGTGCCTGTATTGAGCAAAGCTTGAGTAAAACTGCATTTTCAGACTAAAAGTGCTGTATTTGTATGAAGTGTTACTGAGCAGAGCTTTATTTTGGAAGTCATTTAAGTCTGCAATGTGGTGCTAGAGGTCAACTGGTAAAACACTTGCTATGTTATAGTCTAATATAATCCCCTCAGCCAGTTTTCAGGAGTGTATGCTTTAATCTCCCCATTGATCCACGAGGTATGTCCTCATCCTGTTCCTTCTCACACAGTTTCATATTGTGCAAATACATGTAAATGTTGCTTACACCAGTCTTAATGCAGTTAAATTGGCTTGCAAACTTGATTTGCCCAAGGACCCATTGGCTTTTTTCCATACTCAGAGGGCCAGAAAAACATAAGTCTTTCAGTAAAATGTTCAAGCATCTTCATTAGCCGATTTCTTGCCATTTATTAATAGTGGAATAATAACACTGAAAGGACGGCAACAGTGGTCCATGGCATTTTAGAGGGAGAGAGAATGATTTTAATGTCAGAAGAGGAAAGTAACATATCTAAATTCTGATTTCCAAGTGGGTCATCTGCAAAAGGCAGTGCTAAGGGTAGCATCTCCCCTGTGTTGAATTGTAAATGGCAAGGGACTGTGGTCAAACAAGCTTTTCTCTTGATCTCTTCAACATATATCTTCAGTACCGGATATGCAGATGCAAAATCAGTAGGTATTGATGTCATCTTGCACAGGCCAGGTATGAAATGAAAGGGCTGTGTGGCAAGTGTGAAGTGTGTGGCTGGAGAGAGATTAGTATTTCACTAAATAAGGCAATACTTCAGCTTTTCAGCCTCATAACTGTATGGTTGGGGAAAACTAGTCTGGGGAGAAGAGTCCTTAAAGCCAGCCTTCAAAGCAAAGGTGAGGACACAAAAAACACATCATGGAATAAATCAGAAAAAAATTCTTCACTGATTTCTTAGAACAGTCCCTCGGATGTGAACGCAGACAGCTGATTATTGGAAAATCTGCCTTATCAGGGCAGGGTAAATAAATAAGTTGTGCTCAGATTAAGCTGTCTCTGAGCTGTGGTTTGTTTATCATGGTGTAGCTATTGAGTTCTATTGCACAAGGACTGTGAAGCAAAATGGTTCTCATCAAAACACTGGAAACAGATATTTTGCAGAAAGAAAGTCAAATGGAAAAAACCCACTTTTATAATTGCCCAACGCATGCTGCAGAAATTTACTTGGATTTATATCAGTTGCATTTAATACATTTATACCGTATATACAATATACGGTATCTAACCCAGAAATAAGTTACATCAAAGAACTACACATTGTAAAAAAAAAAAAAAGAAACATTTTGTAAACAGACTTCACCATGGATTGTCAAATACACAGCTGCAGTTTTCAACTTCGGTGTCAATAACAATGTCCAGTAAGATAGGCAGTTCATAAATCATGATGTATTACAGAAGGAGTGAGTCTGGGGTCAAAATTTTGGTCATTTTCTTATGAAGTTTTTTTAGACTTTTTCTATCTTGTTTTTTACAGGTTCCTTTTTTTTTCTTTTCCATAATATCATGGGTAAAATTCCTAATTCGGATCTAAGAAGTCTGTTCATATCCCCTTGGAGCAAAAAAAAAAAAAAAAGATTAAGTAAATTTTGTTGTCAAAACATAGGTCTGACACCTGACTCTGTAAAACCACATACATCTGCCCGCTGAGAACTGAGTTCAGCTCTGTCATTGTGTCAGAATTTTCCTCTCCTCAAAATCTCATGTTTACAATCCTTTCTATTGGAAGCATTACAAACCAAATGGGAGTGCCCATTCAGAATTTCCCACCAGCTGCTCTACGTACATTTGTTGATAACTGCGTGTTGTTCTTCACATGGAGTCAAACTTCATAGATGAAACATTTTGCCATTTTGCTGCGTTTCATTTTCTCATTAAATATCTCCTCAAACCTCCTATTCTGCTTTGGAGTGAAATGGTTCTTCCAATCACCAACAGCACCTAGGAGAGCAGGAACAGAAAGAACGGTGAAGCTAGTAATATTTGAAGCAAAAAATTGTTTAAAGGCAGCCCAGTTTTGTTAACGTTGCAGTTGGCACAGATTATTAATATATTCTTAACCACAGCCTCTGTGGTAGGTCATGACTGTGAGTTGCTTTACTGATCTGGCAAGACTGGTGGAAGCAGCTGGGTTGTCATCCATAAAGGCTGTTAAACCCTCAGCCTCGGAGTGGATTAGTGCCAACAAAAGTGGTGGACGAAGAGCAGAAGGTTTCCAAGGTGACATTAGAGCTCCTGGTCATGTTGGCAGGGAGGCATCTTGCCATGCCTTAGTTGTATGTAGTTAAAGGTCTCTGCCTGGGTTTTTTCACAGTCAGTAGGGGAAATCATAGAATCATAGATCAGTTTGGGTTGGAAGGGACCTGTTCCAGTGCCTCACTACTCCTACTGTAAAGAATTTCTTCCCTACCTTCTTTCAGTTTAAAGCCATCCCCCCTTGTCCTATTACTACATGCCCTTGGAAGTGAAACTGTTGGGATTTTTCAAAATTTTCAACATATCTTCATCAAAGTTCACTGACTTAGAAAAATGTATCTGTTTTTTTTTTCTTTTTTTAACAACAGATTGTATTTTGGCATTTGTTTCAGCTCATTGGTAAAAACGTTCTGAATTAACAGAAGGTACCATTTCCCTATTTATTAATTGAAACAATCCTTGGTTTTAAACTGTCAATTATTGTTCAAAAATTAAGTAAATAAATATAATCAAAATCCATGTAAACATGATGGATTTGGTTTTACTTATTATCCAAACCTGAGGAAGCTTCTGAAATGTCAGAAGCAAGAAAACAGCTCCTGCAGATATCTTAAAGTCACGTCTGAACTAAACACTGTGGAAGATTTTCCGTGGATTCCAGCTTGCTCAGGGTCTGAAGGCTACCTGTGACCATTCTTTTGTTGTTGTCATTGTCAGCATATTCCTTTCTCAGGAATATTTCCGTAAGATAGGAGGTGATAAGAGTAGTCTTATTCAGAAGGAATGTGTCTTGCTCTTTATTTTTCTGGTAAACCAAGTGACCTTTGCAGGTGGTGTCAGAGGAGACACGTTGTAAAAGACTGAGGTGGTCAACTTTTAGATAAAAAACCCCATAGACAAAGAGTAATGCTGAGTGAACCTTTCCTTTTAGCTCAACAGCTCCCACTCCTTGGAGCAATATTAGTTGTTCTAGCTCCTCTGTGCTTCTCTAATATAAGTCTGCATTTGCAGACAGAGAACTTAGAAAGAAAGTGATTTTTAAGGGGGCTTCAAATTGAAGAATCCTGTCGTTGCTTCCTAGGGCTGAGCCAAGCACCACTACACTCTGGGAGAGACCTGGTCCTTGGCCTCTGCCTGGATTTCCACTTCCTCTACTGTGTTAAGAACAAAGGAATTTACCTTTTCGGAAAATCAGCTTCCTGTTGGATGTCAGAGCACACACAGTGTGACTGGGATCACTGTTCTCCTTTTCTGTGTCATTTTTCATCTCTGAGAACGAGGACTTACTGCAGATATCTTGGATATCTTTGTCACTGGTGTTTAAACTCAAGAACAAAGCAATTTTCTTTACAACCTTAGGGAGATCCTGAGGTGCAAGAAGAATAAAGCTTTTATATTTCTAAGCCGATTATCAGACTTTTAGCTAATTTGAAAAGGATCCTTTTTATTACATAACAAGTTTGTCACACATGTATTTGCTTTCAAGCAAGCCAAGTATGTAATTGGGCTGTGCAGATGACAGGTACAGTAAACCTGATTCCCCTCATACCCATACTCACAGAAATGGATAAATACTGAGTATGTCATACCAAACACAGTTATATTCCCGAATTTACTTCCAGTTCAGATAAAATGTTCTCCTGTCTCTCAGAATTATTTCACTGGGAATAGAGAAATACTCAAAGTTCAGCTTCTGTGTAAGTAGCTTATTTCATTGGAGGTGATGTATATAGAGATCTAACAAGTGACTCAGAATACAAAATAGTTTGTTTACATTCGTCATCTTGGAATTTTTTTGTTCCCAAAAAATGAACAAACCTATTTTAATAGAAACACTAGAGAGTGTTTTCTATTCACTCAAAAATTCATTCTTTGAAAGCTAAGGTCTTTTACTTTCTTTTTTTTTTAAGAACAGCAAAGCAGTGTCTGCATAATTTCCTTTCACCAAACTGTTTTCCTACCCTTTCAGTCTTTAATTTTCTTGTTTATTGGGAATACAAGTACCATGAGACTGTGAGTAGTTCTGTTGTCTTACATCACTTTTTGAAAATTTCACTGGAAATGTCAGACACAGCAAGTTAATGTGTGGCCCTCAACAGATGTCCTTGGTCTTTCCGTAGGACCAAGAAAGAGGAACTTAAAATTCTCCCTTACAGCCTGGAGAAAATTATGTAATATGAGTCCCATTCCTGCATGTAAGAAATATAACTCTCACAGGATTTGATATTTATATAACTTGTGCAGTCAGAATTAGTTCACTAATATAAAATTCTATGCAAATACAAAATATGCCCAAAGACATACATTCACATTTTCCTTCTTTCTCCTTTTTCATTATAATTTCCTCTTTGATATTTTAATTATGCTAATTTACAAGTAATGCATTCTGAACCAAGTGCAGAGAGCATATTTACCTTCTTCATGTCTTCATAGAACAAAAATAAGATGTTTTTGTCATCTTCATGTTCTTCCCAACTTAGGAAATGATCAAACCAGGATCCACAGACAACTGAAAAGAAAACCCATGTAAAAGTCATTCAGATAAACTTCATTCATAAATAAATGTGGTGGTATCTCACACATTTAGGAGAATGATCCCTTCATAATATGTACCCCACATCCCTCTAAAACAAATGCAATTCTTTGTGCCAAGTGACTCAAACTTACAAAAGTGACATTCAAAGAGGTTACCACTCTTGTTGGAATTTGTTTTCATATCAGAGACTATTCTGAGATACAATTCTGTAGTAGAAACAGACTCCAAATCTAAGGAAAGGCCAATAATGAAGGAAAATATACCTGCCTAACAAGATCTGAGCATCCCAGCAAATGACTGCGTGTCTGTGGTCACAGCTAGAAATATAATCCCTTCACCAGGAAATGAAATAAGGACTCTCTTAAATGGAGCACACTGTTGTCAGCTCTCTTTTGTCTCAGCAGAAGGGAATCTGTATAATTTTTAAACACCAAAGAAGGATTATGTAAAGAACTTATGCAAATACATCGTTCAGCCAATGAAACAGATAAAATGGTTTATAACTGAGCCACAGTGCTTGTTTTGCCTGAATGCTCCTTTTCCTGGACCATGGGAGGACAGCTAAATTTCATCTTTATTCTACAAAACAACATTCTGACCTTTCCAGTGAAAGGGAAGATGAAAGCCTCTTTGTAGGGCGATGAGAAGAGGCCTGGACAGAGCAATCACAGCCTGTGATTCTCCTGGACTGTGACTTTGCTTTTACAAGCACCACCACAACAGTATAATCTTGTAATGACCAACATTTTGGTTGCAAACTGTGAGTTATAATTAAGCAGTAATTATAACTAATACTTATAATTAAGCTGAATGCTCCAGTCTGGAGCCCTCTCCAGCACATAAAGCAGTCTCTGAGTGCAAGGCACGTGTGCTCCACGGTGTGCAATTAGACCCTGCTCTCCTGGTCAACTACCCTGGGCATGTGGCCAACAATAGCATAGCCCTGTTGGATTCAGGAGTACAGCATACAGCCTTGGAGACTCCAGGGATGGCACCACAGCTGTCCCTCTGTGCCCTAACCCTTGGTTTGAGCTGATGTTATGCAAGAGTACTGCAGGGTTTGAATCAAGCAGCACAACAGTCTTACGATTTTATTAGAAGTGAAAATGACATTCAGAGTGAAATTAGAAGTGAAAATGACCTTTTCCTCCACATCACCTCTTACCTAAATTTCTGATGTAACAAACATAATTATCTATTTATGCCATGGGCAAGGACTCAGAAAATAGAAGGTGGCTAATAATTTGGAGGTAAATGGGAGATGCTTTTATAATTTAATCATAAAATCACAGAATGATTTGGGTTGGAAGGGACTTTAAAGATCATTTAGTTCCAACCCCCCCACCATAGGCACAGACATCTTCCACTAGACCAGGCTGCTCAAAGCCCCATCCACCCTGGCCCTGAATACAATCCTCTTTTTTTTTTTTTCTACTGTTGTATGTTCAGAGTTCATATTAAATAAGCCAAGATCCTGCAAATCACTGAAGAACACGCCTTAGGCCTGCTCTGATCCAGGAGCACAAGATCTGAGCCCAAGCCCAGAGAAGGCAGTGAGTAAATTGACTTCTGGAGCTCTGATGTGAGCCCATGATGACTGCAGTGGCACTTTTCTTTCAAAGTTTTCAAGTTGATCAATCATTACTGCTGTTATCATCACTAGGGTGACACTTTACTCCTCAAAGGACTAATAAAACACTAAAAATGGGAGTGGATAAAGTGAACAAGGTCCTCTTGTTAACTTCCATCCCACCACTCATAAAAATCTCCCTCTTGTCCTTGATCTTCGGACCCTGCTACTAAGACAACATATCAGGCAGAGTGTGTGCAGGAGGGCTTTATGAACACGTCCAGACTCCTTTGAAGGGCTGCCCAGGGCCGGCTTCAAGACTGGGGAAGACACCAGACTATTGGTGCAGCCTGGTAGACTGTGCCCTCCCATGCCCTTTTCCTGCCCTTGGGCACATGTAGGGCCGGCTGAGCTCCTTGTAAGAGAGCACCCGCCCCGCCCAGGACAGGGGCGGGCTGTAGCCAGCTCAGCTGCCCTGCATCTGCTCGGAGGAGCTGGGTACACATACCTCCCCTATCATAGCTTACACAGAAATTACTGGGGGGAAGCAGTCTGCTACTGAGGTTCACAAGTCAAGGCTGGAAAACTTTTGACACAGGGCGAGTCCACGTCGGAATCAACAAATAGTCAGGGGTTGCAGGGTGTTCATGGAAAGAAAAGAAATCAGTGTCTTTTCTTGGAGAATAGGTTTTTTTAACAGGTGTGTAAAGAACAGCAAGAACCTGCAAAGAGCACTCATGCTGAAATGATGCAGCTGCTTATCAAAATGTCTCATTGCAGGGCTGAAGAGGGCATCCTGTTATTTGCTCTTGTTTTGTTTGGCATTAGAATTTATCCTGACACTCCTGGTCCCCCCAGCTAATGCCATATGAATAAGGAGTTCAATAAGGAGTTTTCACACGGTTCACATTTCTTAACTCTTTCTGTGCACAATAAGCTAATGTAAAATGCAAGGAGAAAACATTTATTCTTACCATTCCCTTTTAAGAACAAGTCAAAGAAAGCAGCCCAGGTATCTACAGTGGGAAGGTTTGGGTTATCTCTGTAGTAATGATACATGGAAACAGCAGTGTCTTTGGGATTTCTGCTGATGTACATCATCTGTAAATGAAGATGATATATTTATTAATGATAATATCCTTCCTTTGTTTTAGAGAAGCTCTGTGTGTAAATATAGCATTTTCACAGGCAGTTGGCAGTGTCAAACCCCTTTCCTTTAGGATTCCTCCTTCAGTGACTATGCCATTAAATTAGAAATGTATTTGTCTCTTCTTAGGCAGGAGTCTGTAGTGTTTAGTAAACAATTCCATGTGGAAAGAGGTGTGTTTGCCACAGCTGGGTAATGTTTACATTTTATGAAAGAGCCTGGGTTAAGTTTAACTCATGAGTCAGTTTACTATCTCATGTATGAAAACATTTACTAATTAACATTCACAGGACAGCTGCAAAACATAAATTTTGGCTTTTCATTCAAATTTGCTTTGTCCCAAAAGTCTGTATCTGAGTTATCCTGAAATTTTAGATTTTCAATAAAAAAATCTGAGACCCAGAGCTTATTTTTAAAGACCTCCCACATTAGCATAGCAGGAACTGGTCTAGTGGGAGGTGTCCCTGCCCACAGCATGGGGGTTGGAACTAGATGATCTTTAAGGTCCCTCCCAACCCAGGTGATTCTATGATTCTGTGAACTCAAAACTGTGATCTGAATCTGCCTCCCATGTCTCAATTCTCTTTTGTTCTCCCAAAATCTTTATGGGTTCTTCATAAAGCTTCAGCAGGAGGTGCAGAGTATTTTCAACTCCAGTACAGACTGTAAGTACCCAAGATAACTATTTTCTAAGACACTAGGAAATGAGGCCATGAGAAACCCTCCATCCCTAATGAGAGATTTATGATTGAAAGGTGTTGATGTTCTATTTTGTATGGTGCCTGGTATACAAATCACCCCATGAGAGCAGTGGGGCAGGAGTAGAACCCAGTCCCTAGTCCAAGTCTCTGCTCATGCTGCCTTTGACTGCTGATCAGCTGTGGCTCCAAAATTCACAGCAAACCACTTCTGGAAACTGTAAATCATTCAAAAATTATTAAGGATCAACAGGACAAAATATACTCCTAATAGACACTTAACATGTCTTACAGCTTTTATGTAACTTTTGCCTTACCTTGCATTTCTTTTTCTTAAAATTTGGAGGTAACATGTTGTAGTCTAAGTGTGTTGGAATGATTCTCTTTGTTGAGATATTATTCAGCTCCTCCAGTTTGGAAATGTCTCCAAATTCAATGGGAGATGTTATTGTAACTTCAGTATCATAAAGCTTTGTTATAACTCCTGCAAGCCAGTGGGTGCCTGCAGAAGAGTAATTTTAAGAAAAATAACAAACAAGAAAAAAAATATTTATTATCAAGAGGATATATGAGACATGCATTTTTCATATGGAAACATTGCTAGTGAACAAATGATACTTCTACTCGCCCAGATTCAAGAAACTTTACACGACTGAATAATTCCATTGGCTCCAAATAAATAAACACTTGAAAAATTAAGGTTATAGCTGAAATACAAAGTAACTCTGTGAAAAGTGTTAATAACAATACCAAAACCAACCTCATTAGATAAACTGCTTGTCAGCTGAGAGGTGGTTATATTATTTTTATAATTTATTTTAGAATAACTTGTTTTGTTTGATTTTTTTCTTATAGTAACTTGAGTCTGTATATTGGAAAGTACTGATTAAGCTTCCCCTTTGGTGTGTGCTTCTCTGTGCAAGAGAGGCAGGTGGAGAGGGGATAAGAAATTAATAAATCTACAGCCAAGAGCCATACAAATAACTTAATACAACTCTTGACTTGCTCATAATTGAATATGGAAAGTCCTCAGGAAAATCTTTCAAGTACAGGTGTTGCTTACAAGTAAGGAATATTTATTTGCATTCCAATATGAAAACACCTGAGATTATTTTCAATTACAGAATCAAAATGTAGGTAAATGACCATATTTCTTGTAATTTTAACATTTACTGACAGCATAATATATTCACACACTCAAACATCCTTTCCTGTTTCTTCTACACAGATATTTCCCAAATAGTTTAAGCAGAGAACATGAAACACACAATTGAGACTTATTACAACTAACATTTAAAACTAGAGCTTACCTGATTTGGGATAGGAAACCAAAAGGACATCATCTTCTCTAGCCTCAAAAGTATCCAAGGATTTTAAAAGTTCTGGAGAAGACCTGGTGGTAAAGGGAATTCCCTTAAACATGTGTATGAGTTCTGCCTCAGTGGAGTTGGACATGGTTGCTTAAGTCTTGGATTCCTGCAAATCAGATAACAAGGAAATGATGAGGGTTTAAGAGGCCCTTCTGAGTCAGATGGTCTGAAGTGACAAATTGAGACTGAGCAATATAAACCTCATGCTTATATACTTTGCTACATGCAGTGAAGTCCTATCAGATATTGATTTTTCCAGTAGTTGATAAAGGCAACTGACATATTAGAGACAACTTAATAAATAACTGAAATGCAGAGTCATGAAAAATGCACGTCGTTTGTAATTTATTGGCTCTCCAGATAAAGTAATGAGGTAATAGTTAAAAAGTAATTGTGGAAAATGACAAGAATTAGTATTATATGCTGCCTTAAAATATGCTTAATATGATTATGCTGTAAGTTATACTTCGTTGGAAGCTGTATCCTCAAGTACTTTTTATTGATACAAAAACAATGTCTTATTTTATGTGAATGAAATATTTTTTGTTTCATTTTATCAAATATGCAACAGCCTGAAATTTCAAACACGCAAATCAATTCCAAACGCTTGGATCTTGTGAAGTTAAGCAACCAGTGTTTTGAAGATTTTCTAATTTCAGCCTGAGGAATCTTAAGAACAGAGGCCCTTAGAGGTAATAACATTTTTTAAGATGTCATATGTCTCCATAAGAAAATATAGACAGCAAAAGTCACAAACTTAAAATAGATATTTAACATTGGCTTGAATCCTGCTTATTTCATACCTAGAAGTAGTTGGAGACTTTTAAATCTTTCCCCAGAATATGCAGATTCATAAAAATAAAAGCCACTTTCAGGAAAGAGGCAGTTCTCCACCTGGTTTCAAATGGCTGGGGGTATTTTTGAAAAAGTTTGAATCTGTGGAAATTGTCATTAATGTTTTAAACTGAAAGGTCCATTTTTATTTAATGTGACCTTAAGCATAGTGAATGTATCACAGTAAAATAAATAGCTCAGTTTTGAATCAAAACATTTTACAATGCTTAGTATTTTCAATTTTCCTTTCAATGGCCACAATTTAATTTATTCTTTTTCACATTCTTTCCCTCAAACACCAAGTGGCTTCACTATTCCTACTGAAAGCCTCCTACGATGTATTCAGCTTCAATATCTTCAACTTGAGAACCTTCATGCAAATCTTGCTTTAAAATGAAGCAAACTTTCAGGAATTTCCCGAGTTTACCAATGTTCCAGTTCTTTTTTTTTTTTATCATAAATAACAACTTGGGTTTGGTCATTGGAGCTGACTACCAGATGTATTCCCACAATACCTGGTAAGAAGTTAATAAATAGACATACACTTCCAAGAAACACCTGAGCAGTAAGGATTACTCACAAGGAGTAAGGATAGTTACCAGCTTCTGTACTTGCTTCTTTCTAATCCAATGTCCTGAAAAGCCAGCCATGTAAGATTGATTTTTCCCCTTCTTTCTTTTATCTGCAGTATTGACAGCCTACCATCAAAGAGAAGTGATGTTCTTGCCTGTATTGCCTGTAAAGTTGCCCTTAAACAGTTATCACCTGCAAAATGTGCCCTGCGCCATCAGTAAACTGAGTTCCAGTTGCGCAGGGCCAGGTGGGGTTGAAATCATGGAAAATATGCTGCAGAGTGATGTTCCCTGTCACTAGGGGTGAGAGGAGATGAAGGAGTCTTTCCAGGAGGGTATAAGAAACACTTGGATACTGGTGATCAGGTAGGAATTCTGGAATCTCTCAGTGCTGAGGAGCTCAACATTTTCCTCTCGCTCCCAGAGGAACACCTAAGCCATTGCTTCATACCTGAAGGCATAAGTCCTTAAAAATCTATGCTCTGTCAACAGATTTCACTTGGGTCACTTCAGGTATACTAAACATGTTCGAAGACATAAAGATTACCTGTTTCTGTGTTATTCTGAGTGTCTGTATTAATCTGAAGACGGAGACTTCCAAGGTTTATTTTGCCGTCATCATTCCTGCCATATACGTGTCGCCCAAGCTGGCAAAACTTTATTACCTTGACTTGGCAGAAATAATCTTACTGTAAAATGTTTTGCATATTTACAATGCTTATTCCCTTTCATTTCCTCCTGCATTCCTGTTATATTTTTAGTCAGTGCATTTGCCTAATCTAATGACTTGGACCTGAATTAATCATTCACGACAGAAATTGCTAAGGTGTAAAACAGAAGCGATACGGTAGCCAAGAAAATTGCAATTCTTTTAACTCATCTCAATTACTCTCTGTACTAGCTTATCTTTTCAGCATGTATAATGGTAGTCCAGGGGCATGAAGTTAAAATTTCTCCTTCTCAAATGCTATCTATACCTGAAAAATAAGGGCCATCCCTGCAAGGGTACGGTATCCTGAATTGCAACATCTTATGGAAAAAGAGAGTATTCAGCATCTTGCAGGGAAAAGCTATTATTAAAAATATGCTAACTGCATTGCCATCAAAAGCACATAGCTACATTATCCAAAAGGAGCACAGGTTTAAAGAGGACCATGCCAAATTCTTCATGCAACTTTGATTTTCTTCTTTATTGGTATCTATATCTATGTATCTCTATATATCTATTTATACATACCAGGTATGTAAATATATAAACACACACTAGGATTCCAGTATATAGTGCCTGATATATATGTATATATCTCCTTATTTCTGCAACAGGTTCTGAGGAGGTTCTCCCGGTGTCAAGCTGTCCTTGTCCTGGTTTCTGGCCCTGCTATCCTTATCAATGGAGTACACATGTTAGCAGCAGGTCTCACAGATATTTTCTGGCAAGACAGTCAGTGCTAAACCCGGAGTTTGGGGGTTTTCCATGATTTAAGCAAAATACAACTGGACAGTTGGACTCTGCACTCCTGGGCTGCTTCAGTCCAGCTCCTCCTGTCTCCACGTGTGACTTACCTTCTCCCATCCATATCTTGGTCTGGGTAAGTAACTTCTTTCTGTTGCTTTAAATGACTGAAAAATTTGACTGTTCTGTTCCTGCTTCTAGCCTGCAACCTCCAATTCAGGATCACCATCCTGAGGCCAATCTCTGTTCCCCTCCAAACACATCTTGTTGCCAAATAGTCTGAAATCATGGGGATAACTAAAACCCTCTAACACTGCCTTTTTAGTGTTTATCAGTGAGGCATTACTTTATTCTTAGTCAGGAGAGGTGTGTGTGGCTGACAAAATTCTGGCCTCCACACGGTCACTGATACAAAACCTTTTAGCCTATTTATACATTTTTAGCAAACAAATTAATGTTCAATGGTTAAACAGAGTTCGTTTATCAAAACTTAAAGTTTTGATAAAGTAATTTTCCCAAGCTGTGTTCCCACAGTAGCAGCTTATGACAACTTTGCTAAATGCTAACTAAAAGTGACTTAAGACTTAACACACTACTTATGATTAATTAAAACAACTACTTAAAACCATTAAAGATTAGAAAAATTATATAATTTCCAGCAGTCTCAGGCAGCACATACTAAAAGATATTGTGTCATTGTGGAAAATATGCAGACAAAGTCATATGTGTTGGCTACACAAGTCAAAATTTGGATGTACATCCACAGGGTTCTGAATGTTTTTAGCTAACACTGTCAAGCATCATGTTTATAATTTTTTGAAATGTCCTAAAGCTGTGAAATATTTCAGTCTTGTCATAATGAATGGAGAATTAAATTGACATGGCCAGTCATAAGGTTTTATTGCTCCAGTGCTCCACCAGATAGACCAGATACCTGAAATTAATAGAAGTTATGTGCACAAAGATTGTCCTCATGCATCTGTGTAATATTTGTGCAGAGGCTCTGCAGCAGTGATGACAGAGCAACAACTTTCAAGACCATTTCAGTGCAGAATATCAAACATATCTGCTGTTACAGAGGGTGCAAGACTGATCTCCAAGACAGAAGTTCAGCTGGGAAATCCATGGTTACAGGTAAGCTGTGTAGTCCCTTCCACAGCCCCAGTCTCTTTTCCATACCTCCACAGTGATCTGAACACAACAATCTTTTCTGTAGGGATCACACTGTCCAACCTTTGCATTCACAGAACCACAGAATGGTTTGGGTTGGAAGGGACCTTAAAGATAACTCATTCCATGCCCCTGCTGTGGGCAGGAACAACTTTCACTAGACCAGGTTGCTCAGAGCCACATCCAACCTGGCCTTGAATATTTCCAGGGATGGGGTAGCCACAGCTTATGGAACTGTTCACATCCATAGATATCTTTTTGTTCTCTGCTTTGGTGCAGTGACTATTCCTGTGCCCCACAACTCCTCATTCCACAGAGAGGGATGATGTGATTGCTGGTCCTGACACATACACTGAGACCCCACCCTTACCTTGGTGCACATCTTGGGCCACCTCCAGAATCATCCCCTAAGTCATTTTCTCTTTGGGATGTGCTGCCATTTTAAACCACTTCTGAGATTTTCTGGGAATCTTGCCACCCCACTGCAGACATCATAGTGTACTGTGGGGAAGAGGGTGATGGCTAAGAACTAAAATGGCTCCAATTCATGGTCGTTCCAGGTGAACTGACATGTTAGTTCCAGGTTGTCTGGTGAACTGACATGTCCTTAAATGATAAAGAGAAAGCATTTAGCTTTACCTGATGCACCTGGGAGAAGTGAAGAATTTCACTTCAAGGATTTCCATTAAGTCCCTACTTATTTTGATGTCACAACTGCAGCGTCTCATCTAAGTCTATGATCAAGAGCTCTTTAATAGAGACAATCTGCAAAATGGTTGGATGCAGCATGAGTGCTCAGACTGTTTGGGAAGTTAGGGCACCTCAGTGTCTGGATGCTGACAGTTTAGGAACCTAACCCCAGGCTTCTATGTGGTTCTGAAAAAAATCTGTTTGGAAGCTGGATGTAGAGCTCACAACACATCAAGATTCATAGTAACTCTGCCTCGGTGTACTGTGAGCTGGTCCCAGCTATCAGGTAGTGTGACAGCCAAAACTGCCTCACTGGAATTGGCACTGGATTACTTTACACTTACAAAAGCAGTTCTCTTCCAGGTAGGCTTTGTTGCAGTGTCTCAGTGCTTTCAGAGAGGCCTCTCTTCATTAACCCGTAGCTCAAC